AGTGAAAGCTGCACTATTTGCAGAAAATATCACTTCCAGTCGTGTTACCGGATTATCACCATTCTACTTGGTACATGGAGTCCACCCTGTCTTGCCCTTCGACCTCATGGAGGCAACTTTTATGGTGGAAGGCTTCCATACCAATATGGATCCGGCTGATTTTCTTGCGTTGAGGATACGCCAAATTGAACGCCGTCCAGAAGACTTGGAAAAAGCAGCTCAGACACTCAAGAAAGCTCGCTTCAAGTCAAAGCTTCAATTTGAAGAGAAGTATCACCTACGTTTGCAACGCAATGCTTTTAAACCAGGAGATTTGGTTCTTGTTCGAAACACACAGGTTGAGAAAGAACTTAACCGCAAGACCAAACCTCGTTATCTGGGACCCTTTGTTGTCGACCGACAAACAAAAGGAGGATCATACGTGCTTAGGGAGATGAATGGAAATTTATCGCGAAGAGGAATAGCTGCCTTCCGATTAATTCCCTACATCACACGCAATTCATCTATCCTACCCTCACTTGCCGATGCATTAGAGGGAGACGAAGCACAATTATCAGGCATAGAAGAAAGTTCCAGTGATGACGAAGAATCGATTCCCTCAAGTGACGAAGGACGACAGACGAATCAGTCTGACAATTGACCACTCTATCATTATCAATATGCAGCAAGTTCAAGCTGGCGAAAACACAGAGACAATAGGCCTTTTTCTTTTGGATCATTTGTCCGATACGCAGAAGGACGCAGAGCATGATGTATCCCACATCAGACTAGGAACATGTACGCCCAAGAATATAGCCAGGATTGCTATTAGGGGCATGTAATGTTCATGAAGTATCCCCAGAATATAGCCCATGGTGCTATTAGGGACATGAACTTTCCATGTAGTCACCTATCGGGATGTGCTCGACTTCTGGGGCAATGGTTCGCTCAAAAGATCAATGTGCCAAAATATTATGATGTCGTCAATGGGACCATCAATCATGAAGCGCCACTCTGGTCTTGACTTGTCCTGCCAAACCAATATCTTGTCATTGTCACACCTGTCACCGTCACACTATCATATTGGAATCTGCATATCACTGAAGACCGTGAAGACGACGTATTCCTTCACTGTAATATCTGTGCATTGGCATTGCACTTCTATTGCAATCTGCACAGATAGCCCATCCCACCCATCCCAATTCAATAACCTCCTTGGCGATAACAAAGACCACCATCAAAACCACACACCTCTTCAATAGCATAATGAATAACGTTGACTACATAGCAGTTCATTTGACTCGCATGTTTATCACAGAGACTTTTGAAACTCTGCTAGATGAATGCGAGCAAATGCATCTACACGAGGACCCTAATCGTGATGTACATGGCCATTTCCGCCAGATGTTGTACTACTGGGATCATGATTTTCAAGATGAAGTCCAACTGCTATGCCCGTTATGCTATTACTTCTTCCACTGTTTAACAATTTTGGAGACTGCCATGCGCATTGCACATTTTGAGCATCGCTGGCATGCGCCAAGAAATGAACAACCAGATCACTGATTGTTCATGACGAAGAAGACAACTGGGGACAGTTGTAATCTCACTGCCCCGCGGATGTCATGCATGAAACGAAGATCATACATTGACATTCAATAGGATAAGGGTATACTAGTCCAAAAAGCTTTCGCTTTAGACTAATTACTCTATGTTGAGGCAAGAGAAGTAAAAAGTGGCAGAAAGCTCGCATTTCGTTTACTTCTGTTTACATTTATCTTTGTTGACTTTCTTGCTTCTGTTTTCTCTTGTTCCTTTTTATTTGTGCACGTTATGTGAGCTTCAGCCACAATCTGAGCTTACATAACATGTAATTAACCCTAGGAGAAGTCATGTGACTCCAGAATTGAGTCATTTGATCTTGGACGATGTCACTCGATGTCATAACTCCACAATGATGTCATTTGATGTCATAGCTCCACAATGATATCATTCAGCTCCACTTTGCTCCACAAATGCTCCACACTGCTCCACAGTGATGTCATTTGCTGTCAAATGAGTCAGAATGAGTCATTTTCCTCCTTTGGTGTTCTTTCCACTTCAATTCTGCATTTTATGCTACAACTACCTTATTTCTTCTCAGATTTGTGTCTCTTTCTATTTTCTTGGTACTATACAGTTCCTGGGATATTTCCCACACCAAATGTATATAAGGAGGCTCAATTCTCTGAGGAGAAATGAGACACTCCCCATATTGGAGATTTCCCACTTCACATCTATCATCTGAAGTGCAGGCTGAAACTGACAGCCTTACTACACTAAGATTTGATATAATCTTAGTCTTGTGCTATCTTTACTGTTGTTAGGGGCATTTAGTCACCCTAACCTTCTTTTCTAGTCCTTTGTTGGTCTAGAACTGCTGTTTCCTTGCTTTGATTAAGTCAGCAAGGATTTGTCTGGGAAAAGCTTAGTCAGCATCCCACACAACCCATATCTTTTGTCCAAGAGCTGTTTGGACAAAGAACTCTTCAGGAGAAATTCTTGCTCTGATTACGTCAGCAAGGATCTGTCTGGGAAAAGCTTAGTCAGCTTCCCAATTCCACACCACCAAGGACTTTTGCTCCATACCAAAGGTCCCTTGTTCATCAAAGGATCCACACACTTCAGCCAAGTGTTGTGTAGCGCATCCACTCGTATATTTGTCCAAGGACCATTCGGACAAACTATTCGTCAACGTAGTCTAGTCCATCTATTCTACACAGTTCATCGTATCAGGCCTATCATCTAGGTCTATCATCCCATCCAAAACCAAACCCCATTCCAAGAACCAACGACAGACTGTATAGTCGAGCCTCCCACGAACGACACGTTATCAACCGAGAAAACTAGAAAATCCGTTGACCGTGTACTTGAGGAGTTGGCAACTCTTGTCTTATCAAAGTGTAGTTGTGGTGTCACTACATTTACACAAAAACATATAAGACCCTCAAGTAGTAAGACACCGGGAATGAGACTTCAACAGAGACGTGATTTCGTATTTATAAATCAGCTTGAGCTGGCCTCAAGCCAGCTCGAGCCGCTGTTGATTATTTTTGGCTCACAGTTGGTTCGCGGGACTCCAAACGGCTAATGAACCAGACCAAACTATACATAAGTAGCCTGGCTCACTTGGATAGCCAAAATACTTGCAAACCAATGAACGCCAAGCCGGAGCGGGCCGTAGCCGAGCTGCGGTTGTACTAGGCATGAGTAGTAGTATTGCATTGCCTTAGTCTACATTGTATGACTCATATACGTATCCCAATCATTACTAGTGAATTGTTTGTCAAAACGCGCTCTTAATCCGACCACCTTGAAGTGAGATACTCGAGCTCGTCGTGTGACACGACGAGCTCGAACATTTCCATCACTATGCGACGTTGGGCACGGTAACTGGATCACATGATTCTATTAATAGTACAGTAATACTGACAACCCTCTGCGTACCTACAGCTATATAAAGTCCCTAGCTATCCAGGAGATATTGGAGGAGGCCCTGATTCATTATATCCGCCTGATCTTACAGGTGCAACACACATGCATTATCACCTATAACTACAGTGCTCACGTGGGAGTCACAGGTGAGTTTTATATGCAAGGCACTGTAACCCGATTATAATACGGTTAGCACAGCCATATATTGGGTCCGCCGCCGGAACCAATATGCCGTTTATTCAATAGAGGCTTGGCACTGGGGAGATTCGAACCACAGACGTGATGTGGGCAGCTTCGAATTTGCCATACTTATGCATGGCAAGGGATCTTTCACCCCTTGCCACAACCTTGCCATGACCAATATTAATATTCCTGCAGGACACGCGTCAATTTCACCTGGCCCTGAGGCAACATGCCGACGCCCTACGCACGTATCGGCAGACCTGGGTTGAAGACTTTAAGTTACATCATGTCAATGACTCGCAGAGACAGTGCACACCATGTCGACAGCTCTCATTCTCGGCGCAACAGGCGCAACAGGAAAACACCTCCTCCGCGAGCTTCTCTCACACAACGAATGGTCTAAAGTTGGCGAATATAGCAGACGAGTAACACCAGAAGCCGACCTTCCACAGAACAGAGGCAAACTCGAACAGAAAACAATCGACTTTGAGAACTTGGAAGTAGCAGGGCTGAAGGACGGACGATGGGATGTCGTGTTCGTCACCCTTGGAACGACTCGTGCGCGGGCAGGGAGCGCAGAAATGTTTGAGAAGATCGACAGAGAGTGAGTTCATTTGTTGTCATACTCGGTTCCGTCTCATACGTATTTTGTGACGCAGGTATGTGGTAAACGCCTGCAAAGCTGCAAAGACAGATGATCCGACACACAAACAATGTGTCGTGTATCTTTCGGTAGGTTCATTACCAAATATGTGCTGCACACCATATCCATTGATGCGAATATAGTCTGGGGCCGCTAATCCTTCCTCTTCATTCATGTATATGAGGTACGCAAGCATCACCATGGCCCGCTCTTCCTCAATCCCTCCTCTGACTTTCTTTCCTTCAGATCAAAAGGTCTCACCGAACTAGATATAGCACGCCTTGGGTATGCGGACACCATCGTCTTCCGCCCGGCTGTCTTCAAAGGAGCAGAACGTGCTGATAAAAGGCTCGCAGAGGCCGTACTTGGGTACGCTATCTCCTCTCGATTTTGTCCCAAAGTTGATTTGACCCAATTCAAGCTACGTGACTGGCCTCATGTCGCATTTTACGTCTCATGCGGAGATTCACGTTGCCGTTCTTGCCAAAGCTATTATGAAAGCGGGCAGTCTGGGTTCATCCGGCTTATCTCCCACTGTGGGTGCCACTAAAGCAGGAGAGGAAGGGGCGCGGTTTACTCTGATAGGGAACAAAGGTGCACTTGATCTCGGGCAGGGCGCGTGATTCATCATTGCGGTAGTTCACACATCCTTCTGGTTTCAGTGTTATGATTGTCCGCTGGACTGGATGAGTTGTTAGGTACATGAGCGTGCAAACAGTAGTAACAGATATCAAGAAAAGATTATACGTCAGTAGGATGTTATACAGCAGGTATGATTATGCATGCGAATTCCGATGGGTCGTAGATGTGAAGGAACATATGTGCGTATAAATGGAATGTGAATGATATCTGATTGAAGTGATTCAGTTAGTCAACTTGGTCCGTTCGCAGGAAGGGTTCTACATGCCTAACAATGCATAGATGGCCTGATGACATGGACTATGTCCCGGCCTAACCAATATTTGGCGTTCCTGCCCGTGGAGGGGTCCCGCCCTCAGAGATAGTTTCCGTTGACCGGTAACTGGGTAAGCCCCGCGAGTAATACCTCCCACCAGAGATAAGAGTCGCAGGGATTCCAGTCGACCTTTCAAGCATCGGCATCAACTTGTGTGAGCCAGAATTCCTCCTATCCACACTCGGACGCGGTCGGTCCATCGCACCAGACACTAGCCGATCCACAGCAGATACTGGCCGATCGATAACAGGCACAGGTCTGTCCGCAGGAAGTGGTTTATCCACTACAGCCATAGCCCCCAAGCCGCCCAAAACAGGATCGGCCTTTTCTACAGGTGAGTTTCCAGGATCGGAGCGCGAGAGGCTCATCACGAGATCGCTTCGCCGGCCCTGTCGAAGTGAGGGGAAGATCTGCATGGAGTGAGAGCGATCGAGGCCGCTCGGTCGCAGACCGGGGCCTGAGTCGGCGTCTATCCAAATGGACGGAATGGCGGTTCGAGGAAGGCCTGCTGTATGGGGAGGTTCAGGGAGGGAAACTGTTGGTTCGGGAGCGCCTGAAATGCAGAAGTTAGAGAGCGATGAGAACATGATGAGAATTCGCACGGTTAGGTAGCTGTTTTCTCAGTGGACGGGAATACTCTGCGCCGGTGGTGTCCATATCAAGGAACGAACATCCTTGTAAGGCGTCCGGAAGTGCAGGCATGGGTGGCGGATCATCTGGCATACTAGATGCTGTGGGAGTGCGCAGCCCCTTGGGCAAACGGAGGCTGGCATTGGATGCGGTGCGTGAGCGTGTCTTTGCTGCAGAAAAGCGTGAAAGCCGGTTTGGGCCATCTTTGGATCGTTTGCTGCGGGAGGATTTGGCGGATTTGACAGACTTGACGGATTTGGCATCGGATGATACGTGCTTAACTTGGGTGATGAGAGTAGCTTTGGATAAGACAGCTTTAGCGGTGACACCCATGACCTGTGCGATATCGGTGTTGATGGTCATGTCTCCAAGTGTTTGGTTGTCATCGATATCATCAAGTTCCTCCTCGCTCTCCTCCATCTCATCAATCTCGGCGGCCATGCCCTCCGCTTCTCTCCAAGCCTCCTCGAGCTCATCCTCGAGCGTCTGGATACGTATTAGCGCGCGTTTCATCTCCTCTCCCTGACGCTCGAATGCCTTGTTCAGCTTGCGGAGTGCAATCCCGAGAGCTGAAGCCCAATGTCGGTGCTGAACCACCGAGATTTGCGCCTGTTGGTCTGACATGTGCAAGATGGATGCAAGGATAGAGTCGCACGAAGCGATAGAAGTTGAAACTTGAGATATCAAGCCTCCCAAAACATTATCTTTATCGCCTTCTCCCGAGTTGGCGAGGACACCGGCACAGGAGTTGAGCGCCTGCATCAGCATGGTTCGCCTGTTCATTTCGAATCTCCATTTGACCTGCGCTGCTAGGCGCTCTTCTTCGAGACGCTCTGCTTCTTTCACCATGTCTGTGTCGAGCGCCTGGAGGGATAGGAGGCGTATGAAGGACTCTTTTGCGCTTAACCTGATAGCACGTGAGACTATCTCCTGTAGTTCGGGTGAGGTGAACGTCCATTGAGCGGCCTCGTAGGGAAGGCCCTTCCATGGAATCTGCGTGGATTCAAATGATATTGTAGGCGGGGGCGCAAGAGGAGGAGGAGCAAGAAATGTGGCTACCGATGGCTTTGACTTGAGCGTAGCTTTTGGTTTTTGAGCTGGAGGTGTCCTTGACGGGGATAATGAGGGAGAAGAAGGGTAGGAGGTAAAATTGTGTGAAACTTGGACACCAATGTCCGTTGTCGCACGTATATGTAAAGAAGCGCTCATTTGTGGTGCGCATTGCGGGAGCGAGGCATCGAGGGAAAATGATTGGCTCTCGTCCAGCAGGCATGGAGGAGAGTTTGGACGGAGGAAGGGAGAGGTGAAGACAGGCGAAGTCAACCCGGAGGGAGAGCCTCCATCGGTGGAGCTTCCGAGTGGACTGTTCATATCGACGGAATTTTTTGTGCGTGAGCGCAAGCGTGGCCCGTTTGGCAATGGAGGCCGAGAAGGACGGTCGCGGACAAGCGAAGGACGACGGGGAGATTCAATATCTGTCAATGATGGGACCAGATCCATATGAGCAGGGTGCGCGCAGGATGATGGCACCGGAGGGCTTTGAAATTATCTAGGGTAAGTATGTTGCAAAGTCGGTAAGTGTTATAATAGTAGGCGTTGAGGCGGTCGAACACAGGGTTAGGCACATGGCGCATGACCAAACGGTTCAAACCCCAATTATAACCGCTGGCCCTTGATGCTGCCGTATGTCGATGGGACCCGAGGTCAAATTAAGTGCGAACCGGATGGAAGACATCTAATCTAATCAGAGTTTCATATTCAACGTTTGAACAGGAAAACTTTGTACTCACGGATTGCCATCGCTTTCCATACAGCATTTCCTGTACAGAGATACCGCGTCAGTAGGGATCACCGTGTCTCGTTGCTGTATAGCCTGTAGCTGGAACATGACAAGCAAAAAAGGCAATTTCTGACAAACAATAAATCGATATGTTTTTTGTATAAATCTTTGGTGAAATTCAAAGCCGTGAATTTCGCTCCTTGAGGCTCACCTTGCAGGCTTGCATACACAAGTTCGCTTTACCGGTGGCTTTGCTCTTCAGTGACGCAATATTACATTGGATGCAGGGTCAAAATCAGGCTTCGAACATTATGAATGAAGGCTACTACGGCATACTCAGATTGTCCGATTTTTTCGCGCTGTGAGTTCACTAGTAGAAATGCATTTCTCCATCTCCGTTGCGAAGGACACTATTCATTCTTCCTGCTTTTGTCTCTCACGGACGTACTTAGAAAGGGCGAGGCACACGGAAAATGGCTCAAGAAAAAGTGAGAAAACATCGTGGGTTTCTTTGTGATCATGATTCGCGAAGCTGACTCTATTCCAGCATAAGTACCTCTTCATTCCAGGCAATCGGTGTTAATTACCACCACCGCCAACAACGTCGCTTGTTCATCGTATAAGTATCACCCTCATGTCTTGCACTTGTACGTTTGCCACGTTTACATCTCCCACTAAACCCTTCTATAGGGCCTACACGTTGCAGCTCTGTGACAGACCCGAACTTAATTTGTTCATTTGAATTCGATCGGACTGAAACCGCATCTCTAGTTGCTTACTCTCGCCTGCGCCGCATCGTCTACTTAAATACCATAAACCACCAACCCTCATTTGACCCCCAGTAAACCAACATCTGTATCATGGATCAAATCGTTATTGGCTCATGGGATGGCTCGTCATCCCTTCCTATCCCTCTCGACATACTTCTTGATGTACTTCAGCATCTTCCTGTCCAAAGCATCCTGGCACTGCGGCAGGTTTGCGCTCTTGATTTCTTTTGTGGGATTTTCCAATCTCATTTCTAATTTTCTAGACCAGTAAAAGTTTTTACGCCATCACGCGTCTGCGCAGTCTCTGGGCTCTCCTCCTGCGGACTCATGTACAGGAGCAAAACCTCCCTATGCCTCACCTCGACGGGAAATCACTTGACTGTTTATCAGCCTTAGAACTCGAACAGCTCACTTGCTATGCGTTCGCTCTCCGCAGCAACTGGACTAACCCTAATCCAGATGCGAAGAGGGAAGCTGAGTTTTACAAGCCCATCGAACCCGATTCACGCATTGTTTTTATGGAGTTTCTCCCTGGCAGAGGAAATCGCTGGCTGATTTCTGTCACGATGACTGCGCAACCCAGAAAATATGTTATTCAGTGCTGGAACGTTGCTATCCCGCAACCCGTCTGCGTTGCAGAACTGACACACATGGAGGGGCCTTATGGTGGTATTGTCATCAACGATGATCCCTCTTCTCCAGCCATAATAGTGATGCAGTCAGCGCTGTGAGTTTAAATAGTGACACCTGATTCAACGTTCTTGCTGATTATTTATCATAGAACGGAGATACTCACCATCGACTTCGAAGAGGAAGATCCCGAATCAGCTTTCGTTCCGCTCAGCACCATTGATGGCATCCGAGAGATCCACCTACTCAGTGGGAACACACTCGTCACCCGGCGTCCAGGAGACAGCGGAGAAGTGAGCATATGGGATATCAACGATCAGCCTCGTGAAAAAATCCAGTTGGTGAATCCCTCACTATTACAGGTTGGCTTTGTTTTCCATGTAATTCCGCACGTCGCTGAGTTCTATGGTTTGGCAGAACGATCGCTGCCAAGCGATGCATCTCCGCGATGATTACATGGTAATCATACGCCAACAGACTATCGAGTTCTACTCGACTGTTCCCAGGCCCAACATCATCGCGACACCAGGAGCACCGATTTCGTACCCACTCGCACAGCACAGCTTCCAATGGCGCGCAGACACCGTCAATATGTCAGAGCAAGTCAGCTGGCACGCTGCGCGCTCGCACCGCCCCTCGCCAATCAACGTTGTCATTCGATTTGGAAGCATCTATCCCTGGCCGGTGAACGTCTTGCATCATTTCGTGATCACCCCAAATCCCGCGTACGTCCCAGGGCGGGAGACTTCTCTCTACAACCTTCCGTACCTGGCGCAGCCCACCCCAATGAAGACGATAGGCTCTCCTGTGCGTTTGTTTGCTCCGTCGTCCGTTGCACTTGGACGATATGGTACTGCTATCTGGCTTGATAGCCACACTGAAGACTGGATGGGGCCTAGCGACTGCGGACAGCGGCTTGCGGGACACATGATGACTACGGAAGAATCCTTGAATCGCCCACACGGCTCGCACGCTTCCATGATATTTCGCGTACGAGACGATGACCTGTGGTGCAAGGTAGCTGTCGATGAAGAGTCTGGGAGAATTGCGGTCGGTGATGTGAACGGTTCGATCACGCTTTTCGAATATTCTTAACATGATTTCTTCGTTTGGTTTTATTATGATTACCGTCCTCTTGACATGGGCATTCTTCTGCACACTCACGTTTACATAGATCATTTAGCATGCTTCACCATTTCTTTTTCTCATCTGTCACTTTATACCCCTTGACCATGATATACAAAGGTAAATTCATTGCGGTGGTGTACAACTGCGTGGTTCATTTCTTTTTGGACTCCATTCCGAATATATCACAGTCATTCGATGTCACAGCCGATATACCGCCTTAGGACGCAATGAGGACCTGTAAAGCCAATATATGACATGTCATAATGCCATGTGTCGTAGAAGTACGTACCGCTGAAGGCGTCAAACCAAGCTCTCTCAGTGTTTTGCTAAACTGATCACGAGAGAAAGTTTTCCTGTTGGAAAAATCATAAATCCTCGATGTTGGGTATGGCGTCGCAGAAACAAAAGACCGACTGACCTGGGGAAATGTTGGGCGAAGTTGACTGTTTCCACGTCGACGGACAGCGTCTGGGCAGCCACAAATTCGGCGACTTCACGTAACGCTTGCAAAGGCATGTCAATTGACAAGACAGTCATTTATGGGGACGTGATGGGACATACTTGCGTCACTTGGCAGGGTGGTCGTGTAGGGTGTTCCTCCAGTTGCCATACGGATTTGGAGACGAGTGTCTTTGAAGTCCCTCCCACTCGTGCCGCTGGACGAGGACGCTGTCGCGACTGGAGTCGTTGACCCACTGGCTGGTGCGTCAACGATTGGCTGGCCGTCACGTAAAGCTTTCTCCCTCGCAGCCTTCTCAGCACGGGCCTTCTTATCTGCCTCAATCTGTGCCTTTACCGCGGCCTTTGCCTTTGCATCCTCAAGCTTCTCTACAACGCGTGGTTAGATCGGATTAATATGCATGGAATCCTTGTTCCAAGCGATTACCTCTACGCTTCAGCTCAGCTTCTTTCACAAGCTCCTTAGCCAGCATCTCATCTTTGAGTTTATTAACATCCTTGTTTGAAATTAACCTCTGAAACACGCAAACGCCACTTGGGGACTAAACAAAACACACCTTGCCAGACTTGCGACGAATAGCTTCATTCGCACGTGCTTCTACGGCTTCTTGTTGAGCCTTTACGCCGCGCTTTGCAGCTATTTTGTCTCGGAGCTCATTCAACTTCTGCTGCTTCTCTTCCTCCGTAAGGGGTTTTATCTGATGGTTATCTGAGGTGAGAGGTACGGCACATCAGCACGCGCTACGGGGGGCACAAACCTCTTCCGTAGACTCCTCGAATTGATCATGTCCACTCTTCTCGGCATGGTAATTAGCCAGCGCCGTGTTTTTAAATACCTTGCCGCATTCTGTGCATTTGATACTCTAAGTACCGGTGAGTGTGATGGAGATGGAGGCTTCGACTTTGAGACGCGATTGGAATGAGCGTACCTTGGCATCTGCCACCTCCGCAGCGCTCGATGTGGCACCCGCACCAGCCTTGGTTTCTACTAAGCGCCGCAGGGCATCTTCATCTTCGTCGTCGTCGTCAATGTCGACGTCCATAGGTTGTCCCGCGCTGGTAGGAGCAGCAGCGCTCGGATCTGGGATAGGTTTCCCTTCGTTCTCCAGGATATGGTCCATAGCAGGCTGCAGACCGCGATTACTAGTTGCTCGCAGTGCCCCTACGTATCATAAACGCGTCCACGGTGGCGCTTCAATCAGCCAAGGAAAGGCGGACCGGTGAGACAAGAGAATACGAACAGTCGACGCGGGCTGGGTCGAAGCCCATGCTGAGTAGTGTTTCCTTATCGTTAGCCATCACTGGTTGCTATCGTTGAGATATGTACGAAGCTTTGGGGAATAATGAATTCAGGTCGAAAGGAGTTTACGCGTATAGGCCCTTTTGCGGTTTCTCGTTCTTGACTTATTTCCCATATTTGGACTTAAACCTCAAAAGCGATCCCGGATTCAAACTTAAAGATCTAGTGTACATTCTTCTGCCAGCTATTTTTTCGGTTTAGACTCAAAGGCTAAATATTAATATTATTAAAGGTTGCCCTCGAGCTCCGCGATACCCAGTAGATGATTCCATGGGACATGTGCTCCAAGTACCTATATATACGATGAACTCGCAGTTTCATCGGCTGTGGCGATTCAATTATACGTACCAGCTCATCAGACCAATGCAAATCTGCCAGGGTCAGTTGTGGTCTCAAGCCAGACAACCAAGAAGATCGGAAACAGATACTAGAATTACGTGCGTACAGGTAAGATATTTATACATATGCAAGACAGCAAGGCGCAAAGCAAGATCGACTATCAAGATTCTTCCACAAGTCTAACCATATAACCACTAGTGCTACAACATTAATCAAAAACAGCACAGCAAGATACAACAAGATGAGTGTTTAACCAAGCGTTCGAATTGATGTAGAATGAACAGAGAAACCGAAGAAATTTACTTAATAGTCCTCTGCGCCCTTCGCATCCTCCCTTTTGGAGGACTTGAATAGGCCCATCATGTTGAGCCTCGACGACTTCTTCGCGAGAGTCTTTTTGGAGGGAAGACTGAGTGAGCTGGAGTTGGTGAGGTTGAGTGTGCGCATGATGAGTTTGCCACGATTGTCCCTGGACATGGTTGGCGTAACAGGGGTAGCAGGAACAACAGGCTCGAACGAAGACTCAAGGAAGTCCTTGCGGATGCGCTCAGCATCCACAGGAGAGTTTGACGGCCGCTTGAGTGCGGGGCTGAGAGGGCTCAGCGTCAGTGGCGTAGGACGCCTGCGCGCCTTCCCCTTGGGCTTAGCGACACCATTTGCACACGCCGACATTGTGAACATGGGGTTCTTGGGAGATCCGGAACCCCTGGTGAACGCAACGTTCACAAGGAAGTCGGGTTTGCGGAGGTGCTTAGCAGCACGCCGAGGGCGGGAGGGGAGTGCTAGGACAGACATCGCTGGCTTGCGAGTGGTGAGGGGAGCAAGAGCGCTTCCGAATACAGCGAGATCATCCGTGTCAAGATGGTCAGTGGGCTGGACAATGTAACGTGGATCCAAGTCGGAGTCTTGGGTTGAAACGCTGCCGCGACGCTCTTCGTCAACGACAGGGTTAGCGGGGGACGACTTGTCTCCACCAAAGGTAATCCACTGAAGGTCACCCATGCCGTGAGCGGCACCGTCCTCCCCACCGGCGAGAAGATGGGCGTACTCCCATTCCTCTTCCTGATCCCACCAAACGCCGCCTTCACCATCACGGTAGACGTCTCCAACACCGGTAGCACCGGCTTTGGCCTGAGCCTCCATGACCCGCTTGATGTTGGATTCCATACTGCCGCCATCAACAAACTGCATGAGCGCAAGCTCGTTGGCAAGAGGTGCAGGGCGCAGAGCAGCGTATTTCGCCTTCTTGCGCTTAACTACAGCAGCAGATGACGCTGCTGCCTTGGCCTTCATCTTGGTGGGAGATGAGGGTGCGGCGGACTTTGATCTGCCGCGGGACTTGAGCACGGACAAGGAGCGGAAGCGGGTAAGCCCGCGAGGCTTGCGCGTTGGTGATGCAGGTACGGGTGGTACGGGAAATGGAAATTGATTCCCGGTCGCTGCAGTGTGAGGCCCCACCACGATAGGCAGCGCCGCAGTGACAGGAGTCTTAGGGACCTGCAAAAAGACAGAAGTGTAGCCGACGGATGTGAGGTCTGCTTTAAAATTTTGGATCGAGGGAGTTGCGGCGCTGCGATGGGCGGTGGTTGGGGTGTCTAAAACGTTTAAGAAGGAGCCCGGTGAGACACGAATGGACGTAATGGACGTTCTGCGACCGCGGCCGATGGAAGGACGGCGACGGGGGGAGCGCGGAGAAATAGATGCAGGGGATCCCGGCTGGACGTGGGCCGCCCAAGCGGCGATTGTGGAAAAGGTATTCGAGCGGCGGCGGGCGAGTGGGGAAACTTGAGGAATAACAACCTTCGCGTACGAAGGTGGGGAAGGCAGGGGCTGTGTAGGACGCTTTTTAGGGGGAGGGGGATAAGCAAGGAAGGCGTATTTCGGCGGAGGATCTGTTTTAATAGTGATATCCTGTGGCACAGCCTGGAATGCGATAGTAGACATGGAAGGAGTGTGCAGTTGACAATGAATTGGTAAATGAGCGGAAGTATCCGTGTATTCTGCGTAGGACGCACATTAATTGATGTGTTGGTCAAGAATAGAGACAAGGCACTCACAAGTGGCGTGGAAGGACAGACGATCAGGGGACGTTGCAGTCTCTTGAATAAACGCAGACAAAAAAATTAGGGATAGTGCGAACACAAAGCAAATGGTCTATGCCAGATAGGATACAGTTGAGAGTGTTGAATTAAAGAGTTGCAAGAGCTGGATGATGGATGATACTTAGCAGACGCGAGACTGGCTCAACGGTACTATGGGGTTGATGACTTCAGGCGTCTGCTTTTGAGGGATTGCCTAGACAAAAGGCTGTAGCCACGAAGCTGGAGTCACCAGCTGGACAATAGTGGCTATAAAACATGGCAAATCGTTGTACAAACTAGGACCCACAACAAGAAATCTCTTGATTGTCTTTTCGGACCCCATAAACTCTGTTCACACCGGCTATTTCCGCCCCTCATTGTCCTCCAAGCTTCACTTCACAACTGCATTTGTTGCTCCTGGATATGGTCAATGCAAATGTGTACTTGAGCCAAAGCCATGCGGCCCACGCCCAACCCTTGTCGGTCCCGCAGTACAACAACGAGGTTTTTCATGTTCGCTGACCCGGGCAATCGGGGTCTCTGCCAATACAACAACTTGCCCAACTAGGCAATGCATAGCCAGCAAGCTATACTTCGTTTTGGGTCTCTTGTCGACTAGCGACTGGGAGACAATTAGAGAGGCAAGAAATGCACGTCGCTCTGTTATACTTTTTTTCGTTATTCTCGCTTCCTGACGCAAACGTTTGCGACTTTCCATAGCTACCAGTTTTCCACACTTGCTGGCCTCCGCTGACTCGCTCACGCGCAGTGACAGAAAATGATTGCCATCAACGGAGGCAGTCCCATCCTTATAGTTCTGTGAATGCAAGTTACGAACGATACAACAAAAGAGGTGATGTACATTGAGCTTGGTATACACGTGCACGTTATTTTCATCAGAAATCTGTTCCATGATATCTGCTCCTATCATCCCGCCTAATCTCCATCACTTCCCTCTATGACCCGCGCCCACGTCCTCTGAAGCCTCCCCTGATACTGATCATGCCCCCTTTTCCGCGAGGGGATGCACCACCTCTCCCAGGCTGTACGTCAACCTCTGTAGAAGAGTGAGGCGCACCAATCTGTGCATTATGTGATCCAGCACGGGGATGAACCGCGGTTGCTATCCTCGCTCTACCTCTACCGCCTCTTGGACCGAAGGCGTGAGGATTAAATTTGCTGACCTGTGGATTGTGCATCTCTGGATGAACAAATCCCCCATTCTTCCCGCCTCTCCCGAACCGTATAGATGGTGGGACCAACTGAAGAGAGTTCATCGAGTTTGCCAGTTTGTCTACGTCATGGTCAGCTGCGGTCTGCACCGCGCCATTTCCTCGCCGTGGTGGTGAGACAGCGCCTCGTGCAGTAGGTATTTCCTCGAGCTCTTGATGGTGACGTATTCTTGGTGTCGCTTCTCCGTTTTGTTCGTCACCGCTGCTCGACTCTTCATCTTCGCCTTCATCGCTATCTTCATCTTCCTCTTCCTCATCTACGACCATTTCGTCATCTTCCGAGTCTTTCCCCTCGTTTTTATTATCCCTGGGCTTCCAGGTTCCTCTGATCATGCTGGCACCATCTCCCCAGCGCTTAAGTAGACCACCCACACCTTTGTTTGTCACAGCGAAAAAGTACTCTTTGGGGTATGAGTGTGCTTGAATAAGATGTAATCGACGTGCTTTGGGTGTCTGGAATAAACGTGGACACGATACAAGATGACAAGCAAACTGTGAGACAGTCGAGGAGGTGAGAGCATGTAAGACGCTGCAGTAAAGTATAGCGCACGATTTTATCCCCTCTATCTTTCCGCACAGCAGCAAGTGGATCATGGCACTCAGTTTGATGCTATCAATCATCGATAATCGATGTCAGCGCACCCACAGACCCCACTCATACGTAGTCCACTCACAAGCTCCAGCAACCTCGCATCGGGAAATACGTACCCACACCCCTTCTGCTCACAAACTTGCGCGTGGTATTTTCCATAATGCGCCTCTAGATCTCTCGAGTTTGCAATCGGTGTCGGGCGGTTATGCGGCGGATTACACGTCGGGGGCAGTGTGCAGAGCAAATGGCGATCCCCCGTTGCCTCCTGTGCGGTGCGACTAGACTTATACATGGGTTCGATTTCTGGCGACAGCGATGAAGATTGAGATTGAGATGGGAGCGATAATCGCGACCCCGAAAGCGTGCGTTGGCGTTTGTTGGAGGACATTTGTGTCCTTTACGTCTTCCCCACCTCGTTGCAAGCACCAGGAGAATGTCACCCGATCGGGAAGGAGCCGCCGCGGAGATCGAAATTGATGTGTCACGCGGACGTGACGTGTGTGTTCGGTCACATTTCTTTCCCCCCTCCACATTCACAGTAAGCCCCGTTCAGCGTCTTGCAATGTCGTCAAAACGCAAATGGGACCAGGCTGCCCCCGAAACAACACCAAGTGAACCAGACCATCCTGTAAAGGCGCCAAAAACCGATGAGGGGAAGACAGCTTCTGAGGCTGCAGCTGCTGCTGCTGCCATTGCCGCCAAAATTGCTGCTCAGTTCAGTGCTGGTGGAGGCATTGCCGGGAGCATACAGATTGGACAGAAGGACCCGCATGATGGAGACTTTACCCATGATATCGATATCAATGACGTCCGGAACCGGTATATGTTGACAAAAGGTTCTACACAGACCGAGGTATGTGTTTTGAATAGTGGTTGTATTATGTTCAGCTGTTTTCTAATCTCTCAAATAGATACACGAGGATACGGGCGCATCGGTTAGTACCAAGGGTGTGTGGTACCCGGATAGATCAAAGGCAACGGAGAAGGACCCTCCACTATACCTTCATCTTTCGGCTTCAAACAAGGAAATGTTGCAGAGAGCAATTGACAAGGTCAACGAGCTAATAGCAATTGACCTTGGTCCACTAGTAGAAGACAAGAAGGACCGATTGCGCGAAAAGGTTGTGCAATTGTTCCGATGTTTCACCATTGGCTTACTCTTCTCCCAGCGCAAATGGCCGGAAGAGAAATTGCCCGTGGCCCTTGAGACTATTCGCAATTTCAATGTTCGTGCCAAAGTTGTTGGGCCACAGGTATGTCTATTTCCATTGTATTGAGCATTTACGAACTAGCGCTTGTACAGGGAATGTTCGTGAAATATATCCAACAAGAAACAAGTACACGTGTCCAGATAAAGGGTCAAGGTTCAGGCTTCGTAGAACAAGAAACTGGACGGGAATCAGATGAGCCCATGCACATACACATTACGTGAGGTTTCATGTTTTTGACTGCTCGTATGACTAACCCTTGAGCAGCGGACCAGATGAAAATCAAGTAGCTCGCGCTAAAGTGCTCACAGAGGACTTACTCGAAGTTGTACGATCTGAGCATGCCAAAGCCCAGTCAGCAATGATGCAGCAACAAATGGAGCTACACCAAGCACAAATGCAATTTGCACAGTACCCGATGGTACGTCCAGTCCACTTACACATAATGCTTTGCAGCCAACATTGGTTCCTAGGGTGGGTACGGTGGTGCCCCACCACCCGCACCTGAAAACGCGCCGCCACCGCCACCACCTGGAGAGCAGCCTCCCCCGCCTCCAGATGGTAGTGCACCCCCACCATATCCAGGTGGACCAACCGGCGCCCCAGGGCCAGAGGGTCAAGATGCATATGCGGCATATTGGTAATCTTTCTTCGAATATTCTCTCTCATATGTCCTGACATGACGGTAGGGCACAATATGGCTACGATGTCAACTCACCGCAGTTTAAGGAGTGGGCTGCGAGTCAACAAGCACAGTATTACCAAACATACGCTGGGCAAACAGCCGCGCCCGCACCAAGCGACTCTGCACCTCCTCCACCGCCACCCCCAGCATAGAAGGCTGTTATATTTGATGCTTTCAATATGTAGCGATCGTACCTTGCTTTATATCTGTGTATTTTCGGTTGGTGCATCTCAGACTCGTCAACGTACCCCTTGCTTTGTTGTAGGTATTGCGCAAACAAGCCGATAGCATACCATCACTCACACACGATGGACGGACGCTCGAGTTGTTGGTGTTCGTCAAGTTACTGAGCGGGTTACCGGTCAACTCTTTACTGATGTTATAATTCGGTCTACAATGCAATTTCAACAAATTGTCTCTCTACGGTGACCCAGATCACTTCTTTTTTCATGCTGAGGAACCAGCACGCTAGAATGACACATGAAGTGTCCCGTTTATCAATTTTGGGGAACTGTATAATTTCCTCAAACACTCTACTAATGTTACATGATTCGGTCTGTATTACGGTTTCAACAGATTAAAGTATTAGTATCAGGTGCCGAAAAATATTGTAAGTTATTCATTCATAAACTCGGCCGCCTCACTCTACCCCGATAACTTCTTTCTTCATGCTGAGGAACCATCTCGCCAGAATTAAGCGATCACGGAGTCCATCTCGTGCTGCTCGAACCTCAGCGGCGAAGTCCAACATGCACAATCCTCGAACGTCGTACTGATATGTACGCAGTCTTCCTGGGCATGCGTATCCCAAATACTGATGATGAGACGGGGCGCAAGAATAAATGGCGCAGTATCGTTGAAGAGCTCCGAGAGACTCATCGCCGGGGTCTACGAACGTACATGTTAGCTGACCCCTGCACAATCCCCGGCAAGTACCATACCGGAATACGAGCCCATAATACCACCAGCAATATCTGGTTTGTTAAGTTCCTAGCAAGCATCGATGGGTCCCTTCAAAACACACTAGAGGAAGGGGAACTTACAGGGCAAAGTACAGGATATGATACCGGACGATCAAGACCATATAGGTATTAGCCCTCATTTGGAAATCCCTCTGTTCCTTTAGGTGCCTCACGAGGATGGCAGCCGCAAGAACAACCAGTAAGATATCATAGCACACGATGGGGATGGAAGTATAGATGGCGGGCATAGGCCCAATGTTGAAGGAAAGGGTGCAGTACTTGGCGTCCGGAGTTATGATTTCTATCACTATGCAATGGGGCGGGGTCAGCCCAGGCTTGCAGCCAACTCGATCTGGGTAAAAACTCACCTGAGAACACGCTGCGTCGACTGTATAGATAGATGTCTGTGCCGATCGAGAGGGCAACAATGGGCAAGAACAATCCCACCAGAACATAAAGCAGGAGCTTGGACTGGTTGCATATGGCATAAAGGCGCCAAATGAGAATGGCTGCGGAATCAAAATTGGAACGCATAGCGAGATGCAATAATGTATATATCATACCTTCCGCAAAGACAAAATACACTGAAAATCCCCATTCGATTAGAACGACAAGACCGTAACCTAATCCAACGGAATGATGAGCGAAGGCGTTTCAGGTTGAAACGATTTACTTGCAGCTATAAAAGAAAAATGGTCAACGACCGTCAAGACTTGGCTCTGAGACGAACTAGTTGGGACGTACGGCTAGAACGTGTATCAGCCGCAAACTCTCTAAATGGAAAGCATCGGTACACTCACTGATTCAGGGATGTACAGCAGTCCTCCCCCTGGCGCTAGTCAGTTTATCATAGCTCGGGTAGGCACAGCGTTACATACAGAAGCCGCACAGCCTAGGGTGAGCGTCAACATGCATAAGTGCTGTGTCAAGGAGACACAATGACGTACAATGCAAGGAAAAGACCAAAGTATCGAACCTAAAGTAGCAAATAAATATGATTAAATCCATAAGCCATAAGCGCCTAGATAGGTCGGAACTCACAACGAGGTACAGGCATGACATTAATGACCAAGGTCGTTTCTAGAAATTCAGTCAATCTCTTGGCTGATATCATTGTGCAGATTTGAGGTTGGACACCGACCCAGACATAATTAACCTGGGCCGGTTATAGTAAGTACTCGACCGACAGAAGAGAAGACCTTGATTACCTCTTTGTCCAACAGAAGAACTAGATAATCTTTCGGTCAGCGGCAGTACAAGGATCACGAAGGCTACTAACGGTACTCGTAGGATATTAGGGTAATGATCGACGCTGAAACCGATGTTCAGCAGGATGATTCGTTCACACATCGGTTATGGGGAACTGACGAACCGGATACATTATTATTCCAGCGGAGACTAGCGATGGCTTCTTGTTCTGACATGAGACTGCAGATCGAATGGGGGATCTGAAGAGGTTGATAGGCTGAGTTAATGTCTGATACACGATACTTATAATTCGTAGAATTTTTTCTTGTGTCTTGAGGGCTGTGGTGGTTGTATGGCATGGTACCGACTTTCTATCGGCATCACGAATTGCTGGTCTCGATAGTTAGATATGAATGAATAGATATCACTCCGAAATTGACGACTGACGAGAGTGGCTGTTACATTTTGGCTAGGTTCCTCATTCCTCGTACGTTATGCTGTCATAGCCAACGTGTTCCTACCTCGTTCCGCATGTAGTAAGAGCGCCTTTGATAACCTGAAGAACGTAGAATGAGGTCGCAATAAGTTGGATCAAGATTGCTATGCGGGCGTCCTAAATGTGCAACCACATGGACCAAGGTTCGACTCTCTTGATAATGGCAAAGTACCCTTTGAGGAAGCAGAAATCAGGCTGAGGACAACGGAAAGATCAGCAAAGACCTTTATCTGATATTAATCGCGGGAACGTACAAAACTTGGTCTTTGAACCAGGGTAATAGTCAGAACAGTACTACCTATCGGTCCTATCTTACCGCCGAAAGGGTCTTGACAGGGTCATGGATTTCGTGCCTACACTTCATCAACGTTGGTCCACCTGCAATGAGCCAAGACGATTATCTAGCTCATGAAAGGAACGTTGTCGGCGGTGAATCGTGATCATCTGTGCTGTATCGAGTTGTTCGAGTGAGAAATAAGTCGTGACGTCGCGCTTTGGGTTTAGGATTAATTATAAGCTGCAGGCCACCCTTACTACCAATCCGGTGAAATTGAACCTAAAACCGCTCCAAGTACAAGATGGCGGAACGCTAGGAGACGGAATCTGAGCCAGAGCAAGCGTAAATACATGCGCGGAGACAACTGTAAAAACTCTGTTCAAGGGATGGTCAGGAGGTATCAGAAATAGAATTAGGTGGTGAAAGTAGAGTTATAAATATGTGAGATAGCCGATAAGAGGCACGCACGTATGAGCTACAAGACATGGAAATCAAGAATGGATAGACGCGAATGGATCACGCCCGGATCATGCTTTAATGCATCATGCATCATTGCAGTCAACGCATACAATAAAGTAGGATTTCTGTGCATATAGGCGCGGAAGGCATCCGACGATCTTCATTTAACCCACCTGCTTTCTCAACTGTGCCTGCATTGTACGCTCTCGCAAGACGCACCAGCACACCAAGTTAACGGGACGTTAGAGACCATCTCGTACTGCTCGAGTCTGTCCAACATACATTATCTGCGAACGGCGTACTGACATACACACAGTCGTCCTTGACATGCGAGTCCCAAATGCTGATGATAAGACGGGGTGCCAGAATAAATGGTGTCGTATCACTGAATAGCTCTGAGAGTTTCATCGTCATCGTGTTGATCATGGGTCCGCTCGCGTCCAAAGCGAAACTGCAATGAGTAATACTACAGCATATCAAACATTTTGGGCCAGCAACACTGGCGGGTAGGAAATAGACTCGAGATTGACGCTTTAGCACAGGAACCTCGGTCATGGCTGTGAGAGGCCGAGTCAAAAGCAAGGATATTTGAGAAATAGAGGATCTTGCAAAGACGACATCTGTGCTCACATTTTAGAATCCTTCCCTCTCTATCATTGCTTGCCTCTTGGTAACATTCAAAACGACCAACATCAGGCCCACAGCACACGAGGAGAGCCCACCACAAGTCCTTCAACCACATCCAAAGAACACCTTGCCCCCGCTTAACAGTTTCACTCCGGAGACGCAGGCATGGCTTCCACGTCAACAAAGGCAGCCGTCACGAAATCGATTCTGAAACCGGCAATGACTTTAAAGGGTCACGTAAACAGGGCCCAATCCATATCTTATTTTCCGGACGGCCAGCGAATGATCAGCAGATCTTGGGACAGGACTGCTCGGCAATGGGATCTGAAGGCGGGTAAGGAGATTGAGGAAGAGCAAGGCATTTGCGAGGAGGATGTAGAGGCAGTTGCGGTATCAAGGGATGGTCGATGGGTTGTCACTGGTGGTAGAGGTGCCGCTGGTGCGGAGCTGAAAGCCTGTGAGGTTGAGACGAAGATTGTGAAAACATTTGAAGGCCACTCAGCTATTATCCAATGCATTGATATCTCTGCGGACTGCACACTGCTGGCGAGCGGGTCCGAGGATTCAACAGCGCGGATATGGAACTTGGACACAGGCAAATTTGTTGCCGGTCCATTCAAGAGCGCTGGTTGGGTGGGCGCAGTTCGATTCTCAACGGATTTGAAGAAGCTCGCAATCAAGTCATATTTCGGTCAGTGCCTTGAGGTTTGGGATGTCGAAACACAGAAATTGGATGTGAGCATAGGGAGAGCGATCAAAGGACCACTATTAATGACATCTACGCCAATTTTCTGGACAAACAAAAACAAAAACATCTTAGCCGCATTCAACTTCACAATCGACTATGCCAGGACAATCTACGAGTTTGACGCGTCGACGCTGGAGACTGTCGGAACTCCCTTCGAAGGACAGACTCACATCATTAGCGGTCTAGCACTTTCATTTGACTGCACCCTCCTTGCCAGCGCTTCATCCGACGACACCATCAAACTCTGGGCCTTCGAGTCCCGCCAACTCCTCGCTTCCTTTGATGTTCGACATCCTGATATTCTTGTCCTCTCACCCGACTCGTGCCAATTTGCTTACACGTCATCCACCAAAGATGATTCCAATATCTACATTTGCAACACTCCACCCGAAGTCCTTGCTGAGGCCGGTGTACGCATTCCCCCCAAACATCTGCTGGTTGCATGCTAACATTCCCTTACAGACAAGTGCACAAATCCTCAATGATCTGCTAAATGTGCGCATCTCATTTCTTTTTCTCATTACACCACTTATTTCGTCATGGTAGTCTGATGCAACTCGTCGTCCTCCTGCCATGCACCGCAGACCACCAATACCTGTCATACCTATGGTGCAGAGATCTCCGCCTACAATTGACCCGCAGAAACCCATTTTCCATCACCTCCGCAATTTTCTTCCCTTCTCTTCTCGCACGAATGCAGTGCGCCCTGTTCAATCTCGTAATCCCCTAGATGTAGGTCATTTATCTTGGTTCTTTCACATTTGACTCGACGACGACGCCGCAGGTCTCTGCTACATTACCCCTACCATCATCTCTCTCGGGGCAGGCCGCAACTCGGTTTGAGCGTGTCAGTGTTCAATTTCAGTCAGCTTGTGATGCATAACTCACTGTGTATCTAGTTCGAAATAGATTCTCCGCCTCCCCCCTCGAACGCTCCAGTCTCACATTTCCTACGACAGCACCTTTCTTTCCTCATGCCAAGACACAGCCATGGGCCACCAGTCGTTGAAGTCGCACCAGGGCGGAAGTTCACTGTAACCTGCATCTTCTTACCTGTCATCACCTCTTCGCTGATTTGTGCCCCATAGCGACTGCTTGCTGCCAAACTACCAGAATACAGGAAAGAACACGACACCCGACATCCGCCTGGACAGCAGGCTGGGGTGCCGCAGGATATCGACTCATCTGACGTTGATTCGCTCCCAGACGTGCATTGGTGCAAGGCGTTCCTGTGCTACTGTTCGTGCTGGTCGCACGGCAGTCTGAGGATGCCTCCTTGATGGCACTTGCAGCGTGTTGAACCCCACCCGGCTGGCACGACAAATGCTAGTAGCAGCCGTAGCGGTGCTCATGGTAGCAGTTAACTTTATGTACACTAATCCACTACTGTATCCTCCACGACTGATTATTTCTATGTTATCTGCGATGCTCGGCGCATTTGCCAAATCCCATCACAGCACGAACATGAATGATTCGAATTATCATCCTCTCACGTGTGCTCATCTTATCCCCTGCAGGATGTTGATCTGGTCAAGAACGAAATGGCCTCATTCTACACAATCCCTTTCACGAATTATGTTGGACGTCATCGTACTCTGCACTGACGTCGATTTGGTCCAGTGGGACACCCCGTTCTGTGATACCCTGCCCATTACTCGCAAGGATCGGTTCGACTTTCTGCCGCTTCTGCGAATGCCAGACTCTAGTGCGATGGTCAGAGACTCCGTCATGAAGATCAATCACCACATATTGAAGCTTGTACGTTCTCTTTTCGTGGCCGTTAGTGTATCTCATTCTTCGCCGTGGTTCTCTGCAAGCAATTTGTATCAGCTATATTGAAGTCGTCACAGATGTACATGGGCAAGTCTACTTCTGGAAAGTCCAGGCAGGAAACGCTACATGACATCGGGTACAAGACAGTTTGTGTATAATGCCGAAGATGATACGACCGCGACGTGGAGATGTGCAGTTGTGATTGTGTGTCGAGGGATCAGTTTTGAGTGGAATGAGCCGGGCTCTAGTGAGTAGTTTGGTGTCGTCACTGAAGTTCTCCGAGCGCTGTTCACGTCCATCTAGTACAGAACGGCACTGCTCCAGCACTTCACCATATGCTATACGGGTGGATTAAGGATACACGAAGATATACCTGAGAGTAACTTGCGCAAGATCCATCGCGTCAATTTTCCTACTAGCCACTCTCACTATCTCTGAGCACCTCGTTTGCGTTTTGGAACTTTGAGAGCCATTCCAGTAGTGTTGTAATTCACTACTGCACCTCAAACGTCTTTGGTAACCTGCCGACGCTGCAGCTGATGAGAACAATTCACAAGTATGTGCTACGTGCCAGATCACATTTTATTTGACTCTGTACTCAAATAAAATTTATCCGGGCAGTCGCCCATACCTTAAACTGTGATCGAGGTGCACATTGGTTGTATCTAGGTGGTTGTACACGCATGCCTCAGGCTGCCGTTCTGATACTGGTGAATTGGATGGCTTACTCACACTTGGTACACAGGAAACCCAACTCAACTCGCCAGCGATGTACAGGCCACGGTTTATGACGCGGACACGTAGTCCTCTATCTTCACCTCCTTGGCAGACCTACCTGTCAGGGGATCTTATTCGGTAGTTCCTTCTCTCGCTTTGCATTGACCAGACCAAATGGACACTCATTTATTGTTATCAAGTAGCCCAATTCGGGTGGTCGCATACGCTGACGCTGGTAGGTTGATTCTACCTGTTGCTAGCGATACGCATGCTACAAGATGCTGACCCTTCCTCAAGTAACTCTAGGTTGACTGTAGGATGTCAGAAGTCAGACTGGCAGGAGAAATATCACGGTAAACCACTTCTCACTGTGTTTACCCATCTCTGGCAGACTCAAGGGGCTACGTTATCAGATCAACAACTCATCCACATGTTTTCGCAGTCAAGTTAGAAGCCCAGAACGACGTCACGATAAACAATTGAGGCTGATGCAGTCGAGGTGACGACACCTACACGATGATTCTCGCGTTGCTCTTGACCTTTGGAATTGTGGCGTATGGACACTGAATTTTTGGACTTCGCCGCATAGCCATCAGAAATATTTACAGAATAAAATATTGAAGTCGAACTCAAAGGCAAAAATTGTCCATGCCGAAATACTCACATGTCTGCAGGGACGTGAGAAAGCCTTGTATGAGCATGTGTTCGAGAATGGATGAGACTATCATGATGGAAAGGTAGTCACCGTGTGGTCTCCGTACAATGTTAATAACGCGTCTGCTGGCGTCCAAAAAGCGAAACTGCAGAATGGTTCAATGTTACAGCATATTCACCATTTGAAAGGGGCCATCCGGATACGCTGCTCACAAGCAAACAGCAACGCTGGCAGGTGGGAAATTGAAACGAGATTAACGCTCTAGCACAGGAACCTCGGTCATGGCTGTGAGAGGCTGTGAGTCAAAAGCAAGGATATTTGAGAAACGGCGGGTCTTTACAAGGACGACACCTGTGTTCACGTTGTAGAATTCTTCCCTCTATCATCAATTGCCTCTCGGTAACATTCAAAACGACCAATATCGGGCCCACAGCCCACGAGAGCTCACCACAAGTCCTTTAGACACGTCCAAAGAACACTTTATCCCCACTTAACAGTTTCACTCCGGAGACGCAGGCATGGCTTCCACGTCAACAAAGGCAGCCGTCACGAAATCGATTCTGAAACCGGCAACGACTTTGAAGGGTCACGTAAAGAGGGTTCAATCCATATCTTATTTTCCGGACGGCCAGCGAATGATCAGCGGATCTTGGGACAAGACCGCTCGGCGATGGGATCTGAAGGCGGGTAAGGAGATTAAGGAAGTACGGAGTGTTTGCGAGGGGGAGATATGTGCAGTGGCGGTATCAAGGGATAGTCGATGGGTTATCACTGCCAGTGGAAATGTCGATCGTTCAACTTCGGAGCTAAAAGTCTATGATGTTGAGACAGGGATCGTGAAAACATTAACATTCGAAGGTCGCTTAGCGGGGATCAGTTGCATTGATATCTCTGCAAACAGTACATGGCTGGCGAGCGGGTCAGAAGATTGGGCAGCGCGGATATGGAGCTTGGACACCGGCAAACTGGTGGCTGGTCCATTCAAGAGTGTTGATTATGTGGGCGCTGTTGGATTCTCGACGGATTCAAAGAAGCTCGCTATAAAGTCAGATACGGGAATGTGCCTTGAGGTCTGGGATATCCAAACACAGAAATCGGATAGAGTAGGGAAATATGGCGGTGGACCACCATTCACATATACACCAGTATTCTGGACAAACAAAGACAAAAACATCATAGCCGCATTCAGCTTCACAGAAGACAACCCCACAACAATATACGAGTTCAACGCGTCGACGCTAAAGACTGTCGGAACTCCATTCGAAGGGCACACCCAACTTATCACAGGTCTAGCACTTTCATTTGACGGCACTCTCCTTGCCAGTGCTGCTGAAGACAACACCATCAAGCTCTGGGCTTACCAGTCCCGCCAACTCCTCGCTTCCTTCGACGTTCAGGATCCCCTTACCCTTGTCCTCTCACCCGACTCGCGCCAATTAGCTTACACAACATACACTCACAGTGACTCCTACAAGATCTATATATGTAACACTCCATCCGACGTCCTTGCTTTGGCCGGGGTAAGCATTCCCCGTAAACATCTATTGTCCGTTTGCTGATATTCCCTTACAGACCAGGGCACGAACCCTCAATGATATCCTAAATGTGCGCATCTCGTTTTTTTTAAACTCATTGCACCACTCATCCATCGCTATTGTTGCAGTCTGATGCAGCTCGTCGTCATCCTGCCATGCGCCGCAGACCATCAATACCTGTCATACCTGTGGTGCAGGAATCTCCGCCCACAATAGACCCACAGCAACCCATTTTCCTTCGCCTCCGCAAACTTCTTCCCTTCTCTTCTCGCATGAACGCGATTCCTCCTGTTCGGAATAATTCCCAGTCTCGCGGTCCTCTAGATGTATGTCTTTGTTTCTTGCTTCGTTTGCTGTTGACTCAACACTCGTACTGTAGTTTCCTGCTACGTTACCCTTACCGTCCAATCGCCTTCATGCAGAAAGCCCTCCATCAACTCCCTTCAAGGGGAAGCAAAAGGCACGCGAACGGAAACGAAAACCTGCAAAAGTCGTCGACGTTCCTCTCGGACAAGCTACCTATGTTCGTTTTCTGCTATTCCAGTTAGTTCGTGAGATCTGACTGCGTCATTTGCTAGGGCGACGCTGTTGGTGTGGACGACGGAAATCGGCCGTTTGTTCTCTTATTCTGCCTGAGCTGGTTCCAGAAAAAGGAGAAGAAGCAGGTTCCACGGCCAGTATATGATGACGATCCTGAGGACGACGAAGAAGAGGAGCAGGAAGACATTCTCAATCGAGTCGCTGTGTCTCCTCCCAGGTATAATCCACCTATTTGCTCATTAAATTATTTCGCTGATGCCAGTCTTTTAGGGTCCAGTACGAAGAAATTGAAATGAAAGTAATGGCTAGCCAGTCACAGCCAGAGGCTGGACCATCTCGCCTTACAGTAATTGATGAACACATAGAGGGACAGTCTTCGTAAATCCGTCGAGCATTTCACCAGTTGAGTTTCGCGTTGTACCTGTAGCTTTTTGACATTATGTTACTTGCCCTTCTGTGTAGAACCATTGTTCAGAACAGGAAAGATGGTGTGTAAACTTGGAGTCTGGAGTATCTTGAAGGCCGTGGGACCACAACTTGCTCTACGAACCTGTCTACAGGAAGGACCACCTTCGTGTTTGGGACATGCGTGGATATTGGCATCGTCGGGAGGAGCAGGCTGCTTTCCCATGGTCTGGCAAGACATTTACCACTAGTGCACATCCACTGGAGGTTTTCCGGAGGGTAGCCTGGGTGGGGGAGATTCCGCGTCCTTGGGGGGATGAATTTCTCCAAATTCGGATCATATCGATGACGTCGTCTGGACGAGCAGAACCTTTCCGATGCATGCATTCGGGTCAATCAAATTAGCGAGAGAACATCATTTCTGACCCGAAACTTCATCACATTCAACCTGAGATTCTAGTCTGATCATCTTACACACGTCAGCGCAGCGGAGTTCAATCGAGCACCTTACTGTCTTGCTCTTCCTGGCCATCAAACCTCTTCCTCTTCCTGGCTTTTTATTGACATATTCGGACCAAGGAATCATCAGAGATGCCGTATCTAAGCAGGACTCCGAGTCCATGCAGCCTGCAGGTGATCAAACTCGAAGCAGATGCTGTTGAGTACTCGGGTATCTGTTGTTAATGAAGCAAAACTCTACGCTAATATTGGCGCAAGTGCAGAAACCTCGACGCCGTGGTCCCGGCCTTGGGTGTGTTGTACATTTTCTCACTCATGCAATTTTCCACGAAATCTGCACGAGTATTATCTTTGGCCATGGGTACTAGGTTCAGTGACCAGCCCGACGGATCTCTTGGATTTCACAGACATATGGTCCCTTCTGAACGGGATGGCACCGGCTTGCATGAGTGGCTCGGAGGAAATGCAGATCACCGAGACTACACGTGCATCATCTTTCGGGGTTAGCCTTGGACTGCGACATCTTGCGCATGTATCATTCATACCTCATGATGATACAAGTCAGTCTGGCTGTCATACATTTTCAATTGCTTGCGATGCCGGAGACACCGACCTGGAGCGCCAAGTAGAGGTCTGCCATTGTGGTGATCGACTTCACCTCTTCAGTTCGCATGGGGACCTACTCATTGAGCTCACATAGATGTAGAGCTGACATTGGTGGACAGCTTATATTAGGAATCTGACACTCTGACCCGATGATGTCTCTTTCTCGGCTACAATACTGAATTTATCTTTATCACCTCTTCAGTCTTGTTCCGAATCTCACTCCACAGACACCAGGTATAGAGCGAGATAAGCGGATCTTCGTGAAGTTATAAGGTCTGTTTCATGCGTAGGATATCTACCTACGCATTGCTCTAACCATGTTTCCTTCAGTTGATGGTCGCCTTACTATCCTCGTTGTCTTACCCGTGTCCCTTGTTGTCATCACCGCACTCAGGCGGTTTATCGAGAACAAACAAAACAAACCTTCCCTCCCTCCTGGACCAGTGCCGCTCCCACTGTTAGGGAACGTTTTGTCTCTTAACGCCAAGGAGCCCTGGTTGACTTATACGGAATGGCGCGCTGCTTATGGTACGTGAACAGATAGTATGGTGCATATACGGTGCAAATCATTCTATCAGGAGATGTGGTCTTCGTGCGACTTCTCGGCCAGGAAGTCGTAGTGATCAATTCTCAGCGTGTTGCAGAAGCCTTACTGGATAAGCGTTCTCGAATCTACTCTGATCGACCAACTATAGCAACAGTGGAGCCGTGCGTTTTCCTATTATTCAATTCAATCATTCTGACGTGCAGCCAGATTTGGTTGGTCGGTCGTCTTTGCATTCGCACCTTATGGCGACGAATGGCGTCTTTGCCGACGAATCTTCCACCAAACCTTTCGTCCTGACTCTGCAGTCAAGTTTCGCCCGATGCAGATGAGACGGGCTCGTGAGATGATCGTCAACCTAATTGATGACTCTCAACATTATCATACTCACTTCGCAACGTCAGCCAATGCGTTCGTAAATACCGAACGATTATTAATGCTGTTCACAGATTTTCGTCCTCTGTGGCGATGTCGGTTGTATACGACTACCAGCCCAGTGCTCGTGATGATCCTCTGATTCGAATTCTGGAAAAGGCAGTAGAAATTGGAATCAAGGTGGTGACCCCAGAGAGAGCCCTCTTGCTCGAACTCTTCCCTTTTTGTAAGCTCGCTCTTAGTGATGAGAAAGACTTGACATCCCGTGTCCTCATGCAGTACTGAGGTTACCTGACTGGTGTTGGGGATCCTCGATCAAACGCGATGCTCAAATTTCGATTAATCGCATGACTGAAATGACGGAGACGTCGTTTCGATATACACAGCAGCATATGGTGGGCATCTTTTGTTTTTAAAGACATTAGTCATTGATTCTGTGCATGCCAAGGCCGAAAACTCGGTTCTTGGCAAGTGTTCCATGGTGGCAGAAAATCTTCAACGAATGGAGAAGCAAGATCAGGCATCCGGACCATTGTTTGAGAGTTCCTTGAAGAAAGCAGCTACTACTGCTATCGTTGGTTCGTCACCTTTTGACAAGGGCATTATGCCATTCCTTGATAAATATCTATGCAGGTTCATATGAGACGGTCAGCTAATGTCCAACTCATGTTGTCTCCTGCTCACCCTTTTCACAGACTACGTCGGTCTTGATGATTTTTGCTCTCGCCATGGTATTATATCCAGATGTTCAGAGACGTGCACAGGCAGAGATCGACTCAGTGATCGGAAGAGATCGCTTACCTGCGTTCGAGGACAGAGCATCACTACCATATGTCGAATCAGTTCTGCGGGAGACTTTCCGATGGCATCCCGTTGCACCCCTTGGTATTCTTCCCCGCCGAGTGATCTCGTCTTTACTGAAAATGATATCATAGGCATACCGCATGCTACATCGAGTGATGACACATACGATGGCTTCTTCATCCCAAAAGGTCCACTCTTTTCATCTAATGAACACATCGCTGATAACATCACATCAGGGGCGACTGTTATATACAACATATGGTCAGACTGATTCTCTTCAGCTGTCGAGATGCTGACGTTATATTGCAGGGGCGTTTCACGGGATGAAAAGCGGTACCCCGAAGCATCTAGCTTTATACCAGAGAGATTCTTGGACGTCAATGGTGTTTTGACTGATGATGACCCTGCGGAATATGTGTTTGGATTAGGCCGGCGTGGATGTCCAGGTGGGTTCAGCTATTTTATTCCGTGTAACCTGTGATGAGCCAATACATTATTTGATCAGGCCGATATGCTTCCGATGCCTCTCTGTGGTCCGCCATTGTGACCATGTTGGCCACGGTGGACTTTTCTTCTGCCAGAGATGACCAAGGCAATGTGATCGACTTCACCCCCCAATTCACGACAGGACTCGCTCGGTACTTGGTTTTCTTGTGTCATTGCATCCGCTACTGATAGTTCCACCATTGTAGTTCCGTTACGACCTTCCCCTGCAGTATTTCGCCACGTTCTCATGTCCATTCAGGACTTGTGGATGTTTTACGAACGGGAGCGTAATATGTATATGATGAAAGACCCATCTATCGTCCTCTTGTATGTTCCGACTTGGGGTGACTGCCAACTAGTCAACTTACATAGTCTTTTTGTCACAGGCCCAATTCGCGCATTCTGTGTACTTGTATTTGAAACTAACATTTTTTCCCAGTAGTGTACATTAGTCAAATATCGCGTCTCTATGTCGAATTCTTCCCCAGTGCCAATCCTAAACCCCTGCCGAAAGACATCCCGGCCCTTCAGGTCTAACTGTCAGGTCGCCCAAAAATCATATGTCAGCAAAACTTGGTCTTTGAACCAGGGTAATAGTCAGAACAGTACTACCTATCGGTCCTATCTTACCGCCGAAAGGGTCATGACAGGGTCATGGATTTCGTGCCTACACTTCATCAACGTTGGTCCACCTGCAATGAGCCATGTCGATTATCTAGCTCATGAAAGGAACGTTGTGGGCGGTGAATCGTGATCATCTGTGCTGTATCAAGTTATTCGAGCGAGAAATACGTCATGACGTCGCGCTTTGGGTTTAGGATTAATTATAAGGCAGGCAACCCTTGCTACCAATCCGGTGAAATTGAACCTAACACCGCTCCAAGTACAAGAAGGCGGAACACTAGGAGACGGAATCTGAGCCAGAGCAAGCGAAAATACGCGAGTGGAGACAACTATAAAAACTCTGTTCAAGGGATGGTCAGGAGGGATCAGAAATAGAATTAGGTGGTGCACGTGGAAGTCAAGTGGAAGTAGAGTTATAAATACGTGAGATGGCCGATAAGAGGCACGCACGTATGAGCTACAAGACATGGAAATCAAGAATGGATAGACGCGAATGGATCGCGCCCATCATGTGCAGACCGACCATTGCAGTCAACGCATGCAATAAAGTAGGATTTTTGCGCATATAGGCGCGGAAGGCATCCGACGATCTTCAATTAACCCACCTACTCTCTCAGCTGTGCCTGCATTGTACGCTCTCTCTCGCAAGACGCACCAGCACACCAAGTCAACGAAACGTTAGAGACCACCTCCTACTGCTCAGCGCTCAAATTTTACCGGCGAAGTCCACCATACACAATCTGCGAACGGCGTACTGACATACACGCAGTCATGCTGGATATGCGAGTCCCGAATGCTGATGATAAGACGGGGTGCGAGAATAAATGGCGTCGTATTACTGAATATCTCTGAGAGTTTCATCATCATCATGTTGATCATGGGTCCGCTCGCGTCCAAAGCGAAACTGCAATTAGTAATACTACAGCATATCAAACATTTTGGGCCAGCAACACTGGCGGGTAGGAAATAGAAACGAGATTGACGCTCTAGCACAGGAACCTCGGTCATGACTGTGAGAGGTTGTGAGTTGAAAGCAAGGATATTTAAGAAATAGCGTATCTTTGCAAGGACGACAGCTGTACTCACGGTGTAAAATCCCTCCCTCTCTATCATTGCTAGCGTCTTGGTAACATCAACTCTCATCTGAAGTTCCAGCGTAGATGAACTGACGATCATCTATACTAGAGGCAAAGCACTCTCGAGCAAGCTGGGAAATCTTCAAAATGACCAATATCAGGCCCACAGCACATGAGGAGAGCTCACAACAAGTCCTTCAAACACACCCAAAGAACACCTTGCCCCCGCTTAACAGTTTCACTCGTGGAGACGCAGGCATGGCTTCCACGTCGACAAAGGCAGCCGTCACGAAATCGATTCTGAAACCGGCAACGACTTTGAAGGGTCACGTAGGGTGGGTTTCATCCATATCCTATTTCCCGGACGGCCAGCGAATGATCAGCTTATCTGGGGACGAGACCGTTCGGCAATGGGATCTGAAGGTGGGTAAGCAGGTTGAGGAAGGGCGAGGAATTTGCGAGGAGGATATAGTGGCAGTGGCAGTATCAAGGGATGGTCGATGGGTTGTCACTGGTGACACTGATGTGGAGCTGAAAGCCTGCGAGGTTGAGACAGGGATTGTGAAAACACTCGAAGGCCATTCAGATCAAGTCAGATGCATTGATATCTCTGCGGACAGCAAGCTGCTGGCGAGCGGGTCCTGGGATGAGACAGCGCGGATATGGAACTTGGAGACCGGCAAACTTGTCGCTGGTCCATTCAAGAGCGTTGATTGGGTGGGTGCCGTTCGATTCTCAACGGATTCAAAGAAGCTCGCAATCAAGTCATATTTTGGGCAGTGCCTTGAGGTCTGGGATGTCCAAAATCAAAAATTGGATGTGAGCATAGGGAAATCGGTCGGACTAATCGCATGTCCGCCAATTTTCTGGACAAACAAAAACAAAAACGTCTTAGCCGCATTCAGCTTCACGATCGACTATCCCAGGACAATCTACGAGTTCGACGCGTTGACGCTGAAGACTGTTGGAACTCCCTTTGAAGGACACACTGACGTCATTGGCGGTCTAACACTTTCATTTGACTGCACTCTCCTCGCCAGCTCTTCATCCGACCACACCATCAAACTCTGGGCCTTCGAGTCCCGCCAACTCCTCGCTTCCTTTGATGTTCGAAATCCTCGCACCCTTGTCCTCTCACCCGACTCGTGCCAGTTTGCTTACACGACATTCACTGATGATGATTCCAATATCTACATTTGCAACACTCCACCCGAAGTCCTTGCTCAGGCCCGTGTACGCATTCCCCGCGATCATCTATTGTCTGTATGCTGATATTCCCTTACAGACAAGTGCACGAACCCTCAATGATCTGCTAAATGTGCGCATCTCATTTTTTACTCATTACACCACTCATTCATTGCTATTGTTGCAGTCTCATGCAACTCTTCATCGCCCTGCCGTGCACCGCAGACCACCAATACCTGTCATACCTATGACGCAGAGACCTCCACCTACAATCGACCCGCAGCAACCTATTTTCCTTCGCCTTCGCAAACTCATTCCCTTCTCTTCTCGCACGAATGCAGTGCGCTCTGTTCAACCTCACAATCCCTTTGATGCACCTCAGGCATCAGTTTTCGGTATCAATAAAGGTCTGTGAGACCGTATTATTATGTTAGGTACAACCCCATCTCTCAGACCCAACCTCCCGGATGTTCTAAAAATAGAACCTACCAAAACTCCCTTCCTTGCTCTGCGGGACCTCCCTGGATCGTCGTGGCGCTTCCTGGATCTTCTGGACCTCTGAAACACCTACATTCATCCTCGTCGACATCCTGTCCGAGCATCTGGGTAGGGTCCATGGCGCACCCGCCAGATTACTTAGTAGACCTTCTGGTTTACTTGCTAAGTCCTTTTCCTCTTGTCTTTTCCCTCTACGCTGCCACCTTCATCATGGCTCCCGCCCGCTCTGCGCGTGGCAATCAGCCAACATCTACAGGGCTAGGGCACCACTATGTTAGCCCCAAGAAAGCTCGAAATGCGAAAAAAACCCAATCCCTTGTTCATATTCCAGGCATTGGTCCTAAACGCGAGCGCCTCCTCGCGCAAATGGCCGCCCTAATGAACCCTCAAGTATTAAATACTGACTCCCCCGGTTCTAGTTCTACGGCTGTTCAATCTGATGCCCCAACGAACATTGATGATGCTGCGACTTATACTTACGATGAGGCCGACTACGACATGACCGACATAGGCCAGCTTGACCAACAAGTACCTTGCTCTACAGCTGTGGTCCACGAGGATACCGGGCGCCGTATCTTGCCAGACAAGATGGCAAACAATCTCTATAGTGCTTGGAAAGTACTTATCCCCACCTTGGTCGATGCTCACCTCAAGTATTCTGCACGAACACACGGGCACCCTCTCACAGAAACCCATCCCGTCATATCTGCCTGCGCAAGCCATGCTTGTTCACAACGACGTTTCTCCATTGTTTGCCTCTTTTTCGACCGTAAGTAGTTTATTCATTATGTGCCGCTCCAGCTGACAATTGCAGGTTTCAATAACATCGATGTATTGGCCTGCAAATGTTCCACGCTTGCGCAAGTCCTTATTCACCACGGACTTTTCCCTACTGCGCCATCCCAACCACGTATGGCAGTTTCTGTCGATCTCCTTGCATTCTATCGCGCCTTATTCGAGCGCTCATGTGATGCTGTCCACGCTCTCGCCTCTGCTCTCAAGACTCATTATTCCCGCAGAGGTTTTCAAATGACTAATGCAGATGTAAGTTTCGATTTATCGGCCTTTTTCTATCCTAACTCATCACACTATAGGGCCAAGCCATTCAAGAACCATTTCGACGTGGCCTTGGCCAAGCCGTTCAATGGTATGACATATTGCAAATTCAGGTCGAACAACAGACTGAAGCTACGGTACAAATCTGTCGAGATCGGGTGTACGAGGCTCGGAGATCGCAACGTAAAGAGGATGCAAGCATTTTGACCCCCACACCCTCCAAAACCTCCCTACTTCAAGGAAAATGCGCTTCTATTCTCGTGCAGCGTTGCCCAGCATGTTTTGGAGGTGCCCTCTTCGGCAGGCCACTTAGCGATGGCGGAGATATCCACGTTGCAACAGATGGGAACTTCCATCATCGTCATCGCCGATCTGCGGGTGATTGCCCCCACTTCTATGAACCCTCATATTTCCTTCCGAAGGCCCAGGTTGACGAAGTTGGACGGCGGATCGTCTCGAAACGTAAGCGTGCCCCCAAGATTCGCACTCGTGTAGTCCCAGATGAAGCCATCGATCAATGTGAACATTCATACGAAGCCGCAGACGGCAAGAAGCAAAAGGCCGCCATGGATTCTTTTGATGACACGGGCATCATGGCCCTCATTTGCCGTCATGATGTCCCACTCTTATTTGCTAATATCGACTCTCCTGGCGAGCAACAGAAGTACGCGGTAGCGTTGATTGAGCATCTTTTTTCCCTGTTACCGCAGGAAGCCACTGTCATCACGCTCTACGACGTTGGCTGCGTCCTCTCCCGCTCACTATCTCAGGTAAGTGATTCTTTACTCGATCCCATCTCAATCTGATATATCATTATGTAGTATGATATTCTACCTGATCATGTGACTTCGCGTCTTCGATTTGCGACCACTGCCATGCACGCCTACGGCCATGAGTGGGCATGTCAACTCGAATACAACCCTCGGATGAGCACTGGCCTTGGTCTATCCGACGGCGAGGGTACAGAGAGGCTTTGGTCAAGGTTTGTCAAGTTGATCGGAATTCAACGTTCATCGTCGGTAAGTGGTCAGCAGTATACAGATGATTTTTCATTAACAATAATGCACTACACAGCGACAGAGGCGCCTTTGGTTGATAGACCGACAAGCTGCTGCCATTGGTATGGAAATGCGAGTAGATCTCGGCGACTGGATCAAGCGGCGGCTCAAACGTGGCGTTAATGCTCAGGGCGCAGCGGCCAAAGAAGTGCTGAATAAATGTGGCATCGAAACTGACGACCTCCAGGCCCAGTGGGAGGATCAAAAGAAGTCGCAACTCTCCATTCGTGCCCGTACGTCTGTTTTAGTCGCTCAAAATCATAACTAACATCTCATATCGCGATCTCCAGATGCTCCTGCACGACTGAAGAAGGAGCTCGATGTCGTTCTTGCTCTACAGTCTGATCTAGATGCTTCAGATAGGGCTTTGCAAGCCACGCGCGCTGTGGTAGAGAAGGGTTCAGCTACCGAGGAAACACTAGACGCTCTAGACAGCCTCGACCGCAGCCATGACCGATTGATGAACAAGGTCGAGGTATTGTATTCCTCCCTTAATGTCCATGACAGGTTTCCAGAGTTGCAAGGTGTCGACTTAGATTTTGTCCGAACGCTACTCATGGCCCGCGACCTGAAAATAAATATCCGCAAGCGTGCCATAGGCAGCTTTTTTGAGTGGGATAGGCTTGACCGTGCAGTCGGCGGTGCAAATCAGGCACTCGGTAATGTGTAATACTTCTATGTTGCCGCATTAGAATTCTGACACATTGAACCAGGCACAAAGCTTCATCAGCACACACGCAAAGCCATCGCGAAGCGCCAGCCTGCTTTGATGACTGCGATTCGCAAATTTAATTCATACTGCGAGCGTCTCGAGAAGCTCTACGACCCGTCTTGGGGTGTCCCTCTCCCTGCTGCTCTGCCTACCAAACTCGCTGACCTTCGAAATGATCAGACGTTGATGGAGGATGTATGGATCACTCCATCCGTAGGAGATGTCCCCCGTTGGATGGAAGATGCTGACGTCAGAGATGGTATACGAGCGTTGCTCAAACGAGAGCGATGCCACGAAGAACAGCGCCGTCTTGGACTCGAGGCAGATAACCTTTGTCGGTGGTTCGGAGATGAGCTGGCTGCCTTGGAACTTGCCCTACGCTCTCCCGCAAGTAAGTAATTCTATATACTAGTATATTTATGATCGGCGCTAATCCTAGAAGACTACACATTCACATTCCCCTTGCAGCAACGTCGGGATCATATCCTTCAGCTGCAAACTAAATGGGTTACCCCGCTTGCGTCTTCTGTCCGCTTCGACAGCAATGCCACAGCGGCAGTCAATCTTGCAATCACACTTTGTGGGAGCAAGGGACCATCAGAGGATGTCATCTACAGGCTAGTACCGACCTCGTTGGCACTCGCTGATCCATCTCCCGAGGATGACACTGATGAATATAATGCACCTGCATTTGAAGAAGCCATTGAAGAAGCGGCGCTCGTGGACATTTTCCCCGAAGGCACCGTTACTGACGACGAAGATGACGAAGGCGTGGAACAACCTGAATTCACGATTAGCTGGGAACTGCCAGAGGTATGTTCCCATCTCTCAAGTGACCCACACTCATCAAATGTCATAGAATCTTCGTACAGATCCTTTCAAAGTTCCTCGCCCAGAAGAAAATATCATTGTACCAGCCTCGGGCCCTCCCCCGACTCGGGTGCGACCTGCCCAAGATGGTTTTCCTCTCCAAGTATTTGACTCAAGGGATCAGTCCTTCCTGGCACAGCCTACTGCTTGCCTGAATGATACGTGTATCAATGGCTGCGCCGCACTGCTATACTCTGAGATACGGATGAACTCACGTGCCCGGCCTTGTGCTATTCTATCCACGCACGATCTCCCTCGTATCCGGTACAATGCGTCGGATGAGATACTGTGGCGAAATACTTCGTGGACGTCCTTTTGGGACAAAGACATTTGGGTCTTACCTGTTCATCGCCCCTCACCGGTAGTAGT